CCCAGCCAACGGGACACTGGTTGGCCCTGAAAATAAATATTTCATATAAAAGGTCCATTGTCTTCACTCGGAGACAATTGTTACTTTTTCTCCCTCCTCGGCCGCATAACATCAGAAAAGCATGGCTGATGCCATTTATGGTTCTTTCTTGTTCCAACAAGATGTTTTGAGAAAGGGCCATCTTGCTGGGTCTTCCTGAACGATCAGCTAAGAGATAAAATTCTCCCAAAGCCAGCATTTTGGTAAACGTAGGCTTGTATCAGGCTAAGGAACAATTAGCCCATCAGAATGGTGAAACCCTCCCACGGAACTGCCACCCATGTTGCCAGCAAGGATGCTGGTGGCTGGCATGGCCCCTCCGGACCTCGCAGTCAGGATGTCTTGCCCTCATCTTTCGGGGTCTGAGCCCCGGGGCCAGCACCCAGGTGAGCTCTTCAAGTGCCATTCTTGCGAGGGGCATCAGGGGACCTCTTGGGAGGACTCCAGGGGCCTGGTCCCATCCAGTGTACCCAGTGCTTCCAGGCCAAGTCCCCCTGACAAGGAAAGCCCCCTCTGCAGGCTCCTGACAGTCTACCTTGAAGAAAATATCCTCAAGGTGCACTTGCACTACCACCTGGCGGGGGGAGGGGGAGGAAACTTCCAGGTGTCTTTTCTGGTGCAACCAAAACTGGGCTTTCTGTTCCCTAGAAACTCAAAAATATAGTAACTAGCAATAAAAATGGCGATTACCATTTACAACGATAACAAGCAGCAGCAGCCATTTACCGCGTCCCTGCCACGTGCCAGGAACTGTGCTTTGTGGAAATAATGTCATCTGAACCCTCCCAACGACCCTCCTGCTCCTGAGCTCAGGGTACAGGCCCAGGAAGGTGATGTGACTTGTCCAGGGTCACACGGTGAGCCAGGGGCAGGGGCTGGACCGCAGCTGCCCGGATGTGAGCTGGGACACTCCAGCTTAATGGGACTTCTGCACGAGTATTCTCCCTTCTCCCCAAATATGCAAATACACCCTTCCAAGCCCAACAACCACCACCAAGGCTGGTGGTTTTAAGATGGTTTCCTGCCTGGCATGGAAGGGCCTCAGTGGGAGCACACATCGGTGCCTCGCAAGGGATTTCCCTGAGTACAAGAGAGCACCCATCCAGGCAAGGTGCCCATCAGGGCGGACAAAGTCCCTGGTCCCTCCCTCGGCCCCACGGGCTGTCTTCCAGTCAGGCCCAGTCCACGCCAGGGCAGGACAGGCCCCAGCACCCTGCTGAGGATGGGAGCAAGTGAGACTGGTTCATAGAGAGTTGGCCCCAGTCAGGTGCAAAGCACACGGACCAAAAGTCACCCCAGTGGAAAGCTTCCTGCTGTTTCCACTGAGCAGAGTGCTGTCCGCACCAGTTCAGGCAGCATGCTCCGGGACCCGCCAGAGTGGAGGCCTCATCACCACACACTGCCCATGCTGAGCAGCCAGCCCCTGCCAGCAGCTGGAGCCCCGTCACTCAGGAAGTTCTCGGGCCTCGTAGTGGCCAGAGGCCAGGCATGGCGAAGTGCAGGCGAGGGGCCATCCTGGGGCTGGCCCTAGTTTAAAACAAAAACAGGAATATTAGGGCCATCCTCTCACCAGCCCGCCACAATCCACGAGACCCTGTCCCCCTGCTTAGCACATTCCTTCTATTAAATCCAGAAGTGATAAAAACAGGCAGGCATTAGTTTCGTTTTCAGAACCTTGTCTCTTGTGCCAGAGTCCTCAAAAATGAACTCTGCCTGGATGAGACAGCCCCACACAGTAAGAAGCCCCTGGTGGGACCCGAGGCTCCACGGGAACTGGGCTGGATCTAAGGAACAAGGACAAAGGCAGGACAGAGCCGCGGTGGTGCTGAGGCAAGGTTTCTGTCCGTGGGGCAGCCCCACTGTTTGCTGTAGGATCTCAACCCTGTCACACTCCATGTGCCAGGGGCACACTTTGTGGCAGAAGAGGGGTCTTGGGAGCTGACGAATACGAACCCCCTGCTAAGTGGCCCTGGGGGTCTTCCTTAGGCCCATGGAAAAGAAGCGATGGACGCTCCTTGTGCTGGGGTCTGTTTTCATCTTGGGCATGCCCAACAGCCTCAGCAGAATGCCACGCCATTCCCATCCATCTAGCCGTATGTTACAGGTCGTCTGTGGACTCGGGGAAAACGTCTCCACGTTTTGCAGGCGAGGTCCCGATGGAAATTGACCTCCTAACGATTACTAACCCTGTCACTACCAACACCACACCAAGCAGTGGCTCCCGGCCGGAGCGGCATGCCTTCGGCAGCTGCACCCTCATTTCCAAGATCACCCCCAAATGGCCCACCTCAGGTTTCACGTCTGCTAACGGCCTCTGATAAATTCACAAAGGCGGGGGGCCAGAACGGAAGATGGGGGTAAAAGCCAGGGCACTTGCGCAAACTTTCAGCCTCTGGGCCAGGGTGGGCCAGACCTTACTGAAACGGTGCCCTCGGTCCTCTGGGCTCTTCCCTCGGATCTGGGAACCAGGCAGCCGGAGGAGAGGGAGGCGCCAGGCAGGCCTGGGCCACTCAGGCCCCTGTCCACGTTCCCGGAAACATGGCCTCCAAGAGCCAGCTCACAACTCTGGGGTGTTATGGGAGAAAGCCCTCCCTCTATTTTTTTGTGGTCAAAGCCCCCAGCAAGGTTGCCCAAACCACATCAATAAGGTGGGGGAGTGCGGAGGGGAAATCGCACCTGCGATACGATCATATTAAAAAGCGGGCTTAATCCCCCACAGTTATGGGTTTCATTTTAACAGGAGAGGGACCTGCAAGTTCAAACATGCATTTAAAAATCCCCAATAACTGGAACCAACAAAGTAAAATAAAATGAGGACAGTGCTGGCCTGCAGAGACTGCCGTGGCCTCAGAAACCCAACTTTGAAGAAATTAATTTCGGCGTTACCTTAAAACCCTGTAATTACGGCAAACGCGCATTCCTTCACCCCTGCCTCGCTCCCCACAAACTCCCCAGGGCCGCTGGCCAGGCCTGTGTGTGAGCCACCTATAAAGGGGGATTTATTACGAAAAGTTATGAGTTGTTTTTCGTTTTATGCCACCATAAACAACAGCTTCCACACAAGGGCCTTTCACTCCAGCGGCCCCATCGCTGCCAAGGCTTGACCGAGGGCCCCCCGGAATCAGCTCTCCATAAACGCCGGACCAGCAGAAAAAAATAAGAAGTAGCAAAGATTTCGGAAGTGAGTGAAAGACTTCAATTTTTCGACAAAGAATTGTAGCTTCCAAACAAGCCTGCAAACACATCTAACCTGAAAACAGACGTTTTCTCTTCTCGTTCTATTCTGTTTTGGATGCCTGCTAACGCTATTTTACGTGTTCAACAAAATTCTCTCTGGCAAACGGCCCGCACACCTGAGATGAGCGGCTGTATTTCACAAATTCCAAGTTCCAGAATCTTAACGACGGCCGTGGAGTTCTTGAAAGCTGGTGCGGCTTCGGGTTCCAGAGCGACCTCGTCCGTGTGTCCCCTCGTCGGTGGAAGGCCTGCCCTACAGAGGAGCTCTTCTTAGAAATCCCTTCATTAATATTTAAATAGCCACTAAGTAGCGAAAGTGAGAAATGCACTTACCGTTCTCAGGAGTCGCCTTGAACCCGATCGCGACCCGGGGCGCGCAGGTCGACAGCCGTGCCCTTGCTGGAGGAACGCGCTCGGAAGCAGCCGGCGCTAGGCTGCCGTGCCCGCGGCTGCAAAGGCCCTGGGTCATCGGTCTGAGTCCTGGGTTCCAAATGCTTCCCTCCTTCAGGCGCCGAAACGGCAGAGAGCAGAGCGATGCCATCTCCCGCAACTCTCCGCAGCGGGGACGGCTCCGGGGCAGCGCCGGCGAAGCGCACGGCCAGGCCCCACTTCCCCGGTCCCGCATCGCGCCGCTCCTCTTTCTCCCGGCTCCGGCTTTCCTGGATTGAACGACCGGACCTCAACGAAGAGTGGCCCGCAGTACCTGGTCTCCGTGTCTGCGACCAGCGCCGCGAGGACCTTTGTCCCGGACGAAAACGAAAGCGCGCCTGGCGGGGGACGCCCACGCCCTGCCGCGGAGGTCCGGGCCGGCGCGCCCCGCGACTTTCTCCAAGTTCACGTGCATCCCGGGGCGGGCGGGCCGGCGCCGCGGGCCCCAACTTGCAGCGCCGGGCCGTCGGGCGCGCTGCGGGTTGCGGCCGGGCTCGGGGCGGCCGGGCGGCGCGGGCCGAGGGCACAATGGGCGCCGCCGGGCGACCGCGGGGACAGCGCGGGCCCGGCCTCCGCGCGGCCGCTCGTCTGGCGCGGCCCGGGCGCCGAATGCGGCGGCGGCGGCTTGGCACAGACGCGCCGCGCGCCCGGTGCATGCTAATGGCCGGCGGCCGCGCCATGAATTATTCAGCAGCGGCGCGGAGAGGGTGAGCGCGGCGCGGAGGGCGGCCCGGCCCGAGCGTCCCCCGCCGCTGCGAAGCCGCTGCGGCGAGTTCCCAAACTTTCCCCGGTCGGCACCGAGGATGCGGCCCCCGCGGCGCCTCCGTCCCCGCCCGAGCGCGCCGGCCGCGCTTCCCCCGTTGCCGCCTATTTTATGTCTTTTGTCTCGGAGTTGGCACCTGTCCCAGAGAGCGCGTTTCCCTGCCCACCCCTTCGCCGCCGGATCGAGGCAGGGGAGGGGGTACGGGAGACCCGGAGAGGAGGGGACGGTGGGGGGAGCAAGGCGCCTCTGGGCCCCGCAGCTCCGGGAGACCGCCCGGGGGTGGTGGCCGTGCCCGCGCACCCTGGCGCCCCTGTTCCGAGGGGAGGTCAACACTTTGGCTGTGCCCAGAATACCAACGAGGCCTCCCGGGGCCCCCGGCCATGCCCGCTACGGGCGAGGACGGGGCGCGGCCCCTTCCCGCTTCCCCCCTCCGCCGCGCACCCTCCTCTTCGGGCCGGCGCGCGCGGGCGGGGCGGGCGGGGCGAGCAGCGGATTCGCCGCCCGGGCCCCGCGCCTCGTCCCGCAGCCCCGCGTGCGCGCCCCCGCGGGCATGCCGCCCCGGGCGCTCCCCGTCCGCGCGCCCCCGGCCCGCGGCCCCTCCCGCCTGCCCGTGCGGGGCAGGGGGCACCGCTCCGCAGAGACCCATCAGCTTTCTGCTTCGCCCTCTGGGGCCTGCGCGCCCGAGGGGCGCGGACAGGCGCAAGCCCCGGCCCTAGCCCGCCCTCGCCGCCCTGGCACCGAGGCAGCTGCCGAAGCGTGCTCGGCGGCTGCGCTCCGAGGCGCCGGCTGCCATGATTGCGGGCAGCAGGGCGCGCGCGCGCACGCTCGGGCCCGGCTAGGGGATCCCGGGCGGACCGACGGTCCCTGGCCTGACCGCAGCCCCGTGCGCGCCGCGGACAGCAGCCACAGTCGCCGGGCTCGTCCCTGCGAGGCCGCTGTGCGCCATGGATCTCCAGACGAGGTCCCAGGACAGAGGTCGGGGTCGACGGTGGCAGCAGGCTTCCCCGGGGCAGGGCGCGCACCAGGGGCGACCTCCCGGCGGCTTCCCGGACACCGCCGGCCCTGTGGAGGGTGGGGCACGGTGCCCGGGATCTGGTGAAGTGGAGGAGGGCAGTGCACAGTGCCCAGAGATGGAGGGGGTGCGCAAGGTGCCTGGCGAATGGGGGGGGTGCCCTCACGGTGGCCCGGGAGGCGTGGGATGGGCGGGGGCACCGTGCCCAGAGCTGCTGCCCAGCTCCGAGCTCGCTGTCTTCCTTCCCCGCAGAGACAACTTCCTGCTCCCCTGGCCCAGGGCGCAAGACCTGCGGGAAGAAGTTCTAGGCCGCAGCTTTGCTCTTTCGGAGCCGGACGACTACGCTGTTGCCCCCTGGCAGCGCGGTTCCTCCCCGCGCCCTTCCCCGGGGCCGCGACCGGCTGGACTCCAGGGTCCCGACACTGGTTAGAATGCCAAGGAGGCTGAAGCAGCTTTTCCTGCAGCCTCCGCAGGGGCGCCTGAGTGGTTTCCCCGCAGAGGGGCCGGCCTGGGCCTCTGGTGCTGGGGGACGCCAACACGAGGTCACTGCGCTCGGACCCCCTCCCCCAGCTTGGGCATGCCCTCGCCCAGAGTCAGATGGACCTGGCTGTCCCCAGACGCCTGCGACGGGGGCCCAATTGAAACGAGGCCTCCTGGGCCCCATCCCAACGTTTCTGTGCCTGTCTCCCCCCCAGCCCCCCACCCCCCAAGCCGGCCTTGGCATTCTAACCAATGTCCCTTGACGTCACATCTCGCCATTTCCGTCAACCAATTGAAACTTCCCCGTTGTCATAAAAATATATATACTTTTTATGCCATTGGTAAATTCAAAAGTTCCTCGTGTGCCCTGCTTCCCAGGAAACTCTACTTCACGTTGGATTCACTGCTCAGGAAGAGAGAATGGCCACATGGACAAGGCTGGGCTGGGGCAGCTGGAGCAGCTCTCCCAGGGCCTCAGCTGCCCACTGGCCCACCTTCGAGACACCCTGGACCTCATCCTCGAATTGTGCTGGACACCCCCACACCACTGCCACTACTCTATGACATACATGATTTTGAGGCGGGAAAGGGAGGGAGGGAAAAAAACCCAGGATATATTAAGAAATCTCCCCAAATTGCTTTCCTTGGTGTTAGACTCTTACTGTGGCCTCTCCTTTCTAGGGATAGCTTTTTTTCCTATGAGAAAATTCAGCTTTTGAAAATGTAGTAGACATGCTTTCCGGTTAATCTTTTCACTGAAATCCTGACCAACTTTCACTTTCCATAGCTGCTGACAAGGAGCAGAGACAGCCCAAACAGGGGTGATTTCACAGTGGGGTGGGTTTCACTCTTTCCCTGAGGAAGGTCCAGGCTGGCTCTCCCAGTTTCGAGGGCTAGGGGGGTCCAGAGCTGGAAGCCCAGGAATTCTGTGTTCCTCCTTTCTCAGAAAAAGATGGTTCTCTCAGCAGTCTGAGCCTCGGGAATGCCATACCCACATTCTAGCAATACGCACGCAGGGAAAAACAATCTCTCGTCTAGCATAGTCCTTTGTAATTTTCTTCACTATTATAATTCCCAGCCCGACTGGGATGTGCAGGGTGAGCAAACACGTCCCCACGAGATGAGTATGTGCAGGGCAGTCCCAAAAACCACACAGAACCCGCTATCACCCTCCTCCTGCTCCGGCCACACCAAGGAAGAACCCAGCCACTAACGGCCATTATAAATTCCGCCTGTCCCTCATCTTAACGGTATGGCTCAACTACTTTAGAAAACATATTAAAGATATTTTGTGGTTTAGCAAACTTGAGGACTCCAGAACAACAAAACTGCTTTGAAACTAGGCTGAATGCAAAGATCTAAACATCAGAAGTATCGGGCCCTTTTAATACCGAATCTTGTTTTTCCAAAATAATGAGCAAGCTCGGTAACAACTGAACGGGGATTTTGAAAATAAATATATGGTTACTGTTCTCACGTAAAACCGTTCCCAAGTGCAAAACTCTGGAAACACTGCATACCTTTGAGATATGTTCACACACACATAAAAATATTGCATCCACCAACCACACTATAATCTATTTATAATCACTTTCCTAAACACTATAAATATTATAACTAATGTGATATATGTTTTGTGATTAAATGGGTGGATTAAAACATTGAATTAAAAAAGCCACAAAGAAAAAGAGATTATCTTCCATTATGCCACTTACAACTTGTGTTCCATTGGCACAAATACAAATTTGACGACTGTATCATTACAATGACTAAATGCCAGGATATTAGCTTTGCAATTTCCACCTGAAATCATTGTATAATCATACCGGCTTACTAACCTTTTTATTAGCTGATTTATCTTTCCTTGCTCTCACACACAGTAATAAGTTAATTTAATGCCTTTTTCCTCCTCCCAACTTTTATTCGGTAAAACAAGAAATTGGGTGAGTCAGAACAATATTCAAGAACACACACTGTTTTTTTTTTAATCCCCTCTATACTCGGCAAGAATTTACATATAATTTGGTTGCAAATTCAGAAATCAAATTCTGCTTGAGTCAAGGAAAATAATAGGATTCAGGTAATTCCAATGGAATTCAGGAATTCCATTCAGGTTGGTTTTTTAAAGTCTTTTTCTAACTCGCTATCATATTATATTATTCAAAATAAATAATATTAAAAAGTGTGCTCAAATTATCAAAAAGGAAACCTGGAAAATTTACTTTGTTGGTGAGCCTTATGATGGACAAGTTTCCCGAAGGCAGAACTTGGTCTGAGCTCTGGGCCACACCAGAAAAATAAGTCATAGGAAGGCTCTTGCTGTCCCAGGATGTTTATAGTATCAGCCTTATACGGTTATTTTTTCCTGATTTCTCCCAAGATCTGCCTAATGGGAATGCAACCGGCAACTTCCTGCTATGCCCCCCAGCCCATGCGTCCCCGCTCAGGCTTCGGCCGCACTTCAGCCTCAGAAGGCTGGGGGCACTCGGGGTTTTCTTATCTCAATGTAGTGACATTTAATAATTTAAAATTTTTCGTCTCCAAGGCATTCCGAGGACTTCGTAAACAGATGCATCTAGTCTAATTAAAGCAAGTAGGATGAGCGTAACTGAAAGCTTACATTTTCACATTGATTTTGAACATCCAACCTGCACACCCAAGAACAATGATGTTTTTAAAGCCGGCCCAAGACATTTGAGATGGCGAGCTGGTGGCAGCTCCTGAGTAAGATGCCACTTCTTCAGTCCTCCCAAGGCGTCCTTTGGAGGAGTCGCTAAGAAGCTATATTTTTTTTTTCTTTTGCCTTTGTCTCAAAGTAGTCTGCAGCTTTGGGATTCCATTTTGACATGCCTATGTCGTAATCACTTGTACTCCCACTTTACGAAGGGTCCAGTTTTGCTCTCACTTATTTACGCACAAACCTATCATCATCAGTTCACCTTGGGTAAGCATTTTTGTTTTCTTATGCAGATAGTTCAGGAAGAGGAGAGGGAAAAGAAGCCGACTGGCTTAGACAGAAGTCAGACAGAGTTTACAGGGTCTCAGGCTGGGCAAGGAAAAGTGAGGCAGCATCCACAGAAAGGGTTCTTCCTTCCAAACGTAATGAAGGGTTTTTCCGAATCTTTCGCTTCAGTTCACTCAGTTTCATGTCAAACTTGGCATTAGTTAACTAACAACAGAAATGAAACTCTGGCCACAGGACAAGCGTGTTTGCGGAACAAAGCACCGGGCAGGAGGAGGCATTAGCAACCCCTCGCCCTCTAAAAACCAGCACCTGCCATACCAGTTCTATACCTTCTTTCCTTTTTAGAAAAATAGAAAGGACACAGTTAGAGTGCCTGCAGCCGGCAGTGATCAACAGCATGCCCTCTGTTCCCTCCTGACCGATGGGCAGTAACCCCACAACTGGGCAATCACACGTCTGCTTAGAAACGGTCTGTGAGCTGCTGTTTCACCATATTTTACACAATTTGGAAGTCCACACATTCACTTTTCATCATGTGTTACCTGTGTATGTATATATAAAAAAAAGTCTAACAACCCGGAAAGCATTCTTGAGGGGTTATTATTTTTCAAATAAAGGAGAACATAAAACAACTAGACGTCTACGATAAACATGTGTTCAATTATATATATAAATATGGAAATATACTGTATGTAATACATACATGCTGGCATGAAAATTTTCCCCTTACGGATGAGGAATTACGATTAATATTTTCCATTCCAATGTACTAACAACACAAATCAGAAAATGTGAATTGAGGCTGACGGGCCAAGATCTCCAGTTCTATATGCGTACATCAAATGCCAAAACTTGATTCTTGGCTTCATATCAGGAATGAGAAAAAGCACAATACAAGCTAAATTTTGAAAAAATCAAAATTACCTTTCAAAGAGAAGTGGGTGCTGAATTTATTTTAATCTCTCAATCCTGCAATTTCTAAAATGGAATCATCATAAATTTAGAGAAATTAACATTTTTCTAAAGAATTTATCATGCCACTTATAGGAAATGTTTATTAGCAATTAAAGATATATAGAATTTGGAGTTTAACAGTTTCTGGGAGAAGGAGGTACCGATTTCCACGAAAATGAAAGGACATCAGAAAATTTGAAAAGCATTTCATTCCTCAAATGTCCAAAGAATGCCTTCCTTTCACAGTTGCAAAGCACTGATTTATTTGAAGTATTTTTGCATCATATCAGTCCTTTAAGGGGCCTGAAATAGTCGTTATTTTAATGACCCCATATGCTTTTTGAATTACATCTAAGCAGAATTTAGATATGAAAAATTTAAAGCAATTTTAAACTTTAAAAACTATCAAATGTTTAGTTAAAAATGTTTTAAATAATGCTGAAATACTAATGAAAGTCAGTTTAATTTTTTTCTTCCCCACAAATGAAATGAGAACTTCAGTATCATTTCTTAGTCATACAGTTATTTAGTGAGCTAAGTAAATTATAAGCCCTCTAGAATAAAGAAAAAAAAGGAAAGGAAATAAACCCTGATTTAGAACTCAAACAGTTCATTGTCAAATTGCAAGGGACAGCAAGAACTTTTTTTAAATCAAAACTTCACAGATCACTTCTTTAAAATGGTCGCAACGAAACCTAAACTGCCTGCAAAATAATCACATGCAGAATGAGGGTTTTTTTTGGGGGGGGTCAATTACAAGTTGTTTGAAATTTGACCACGCCGGGCTTATTTATTGAAATATTCTCATTTTATTTTTTACAAAATCTAATATGATTTCATACAACACAGGTGAGTAATTTGCTTTAATATGTAATAGTTTCATTCTCCTGACTATGTCTAAATATCATAGATTTTAGATCCAGTTAACAGAAAGACAAGGTTAAGGTGGGATTTTTCACATATGCCCTTTCTACAAAAAGTGAAGAAATAGCTTAACTAAATCTACCACTGCAAAACAGGATAATATTTAATAGCCGCAAAGAAAAATACTAAAAAAGAAAGCCACTGCTTTTGTCCTGTTTTGTTTCCTGCTATTTATAGAGCAACTTTCGGTGTAATTCCCAATTTTAAAAGAACATGAAGTTTGTTTTTTTTTTAACCAAAAGAAAGTGGTAATGTAAGCAATCAGACAACGGATGGCATTAACCTTGAAAATAAGAGTCTATATAATTTCCCCATGATGAACATATATTTTTAAAATGGATTTCAACAGAATGGGAGAGGCGGACAGGCATTTTCACTCCCGTGCTCGGTTTTTGACGATGATCACGGGCAGGGATTGTCAACCACCATCAAAGTTAACGCCCTTGCTCATATCTTATCCGTTAACCAGTTTTCAACTCTGAATTCTAAATATGC